AAATTTTAAGGACTGACAAAAAAAAACTAGTAAAAGTGGCTCACATATCCAATCTTTAACCTCCTTCAAACCCCTTGGGGAAATATTGTCTTGCCCAGGATCCTTATCGTTTTATAAAATTCCCATCTTTTTCTTAACCAGATCAGAATTAATGCAGTCATCTTGTTTGATCTCGTTTCTATTTATCAACTGATCAAGATGTGGAATACTGCTTTAATCTTCATTGGTAAAAACCGAAGAAAAAGCAAAATTTAATAACCCAGCCATCTCATAATCGTCAGATACTAATTTACTTTATCATCCCTCAAGGATCCTATCCCCATCCTAACATTTTGTTTACCTTAATTAATTTAAATAAATCTTTATTGTTAATTTTTACATTTTCATTTTCAGTCAACCTTAACACATACTCAGAATCATACATACGTAACATAGTCATACATACTTTTTGATGTCCTAATTTCCTGTTTCACCAACTTTCTTTATCTATAACTCATTTTATCTGTTTTCATTCGGCAAGTAAAGCTATAGGCGTAAAAGTGCTATAACTTTCGTAACTGTATAAACTATAATTCAAGAATAAGAAAATATAAATCATATCTTCTATTCACAGTGTTACCACAAACTAACCGAGTGTTAAAAACTTTACAGCATAAACAGTTCACCACTTGTGATCAAACGCTTAGATCCGTATGTTGCCATCTGATGGAAAGGAAAATTGTTGAAGTTTGCACTTAGTAATAGTATAATTCGTAAACAATATTATAAAATATAAAATCGATAAATTGTACGCATAATAAAAATATATAAATAAAAAATTAAAACTGATAAAAATAAATTAATCCTAAGTCAAAGAAAATGGTATGATATCCCATACTGTCCTGTCTTACGAGATGACTGTATGTTTGTGTGTTTAATTATAGCAAAGCCACATCGGGCTATCTGCTGTGTCAACCGAGAGGAATCGAACCCCTGATTTTAACGTTGTAAATCCGAAGACTTTCCGCTGTTCCACCGGGGTACATGAGATGACCATATTACTAGATCCACTGAGCAATGCGTTTTCAATGAACAACCAGAAATCTGACCATGTTTTTGGAACACTTAAGTCGAGGTTTCTGTAGCTAATAATAGCGCTCCGGTGACTTAGAGTAAGTCTGAGGTCATAAAACACTAAAATTAGGTTTCGATACTTGCAGTGTGTAGAGCACAAATAGCCAGTTGTGAAACTTTGAGCTTAACAACAAAGAAACACACTTTAATAATATATAACTGACACATGTAGTAATTTAAAAACAAAAACACATATCAAGTCATTAGAAGAAAATATATTGTTACGTCTCCGTTTGTTAATTAACTTTTCGTAACGTCGTTCCGACGAAACTTTAGCGACACAAGTTCTTTCTTAAATAAAACTGGTTTATTCTTTCCGAATATAAC